CATTTTAGTGATTTCAAGCGCTAAAGCTTTTGGGGGTTTCAGGGATTTGGTGTCTTTTCTGGAAGCTGTTCTGCCACTGCACTCCCCAGCCCCTATGCCTATGATGAAACACGGGCCCTTACCCACGAACACACCTTCTACACAACAACCCTTCTCGGGTTCTTTGCTTCTTTTTATGCATCAGTAACTGTTCAGGTTTCTAATATTGTATCTTTTCTGGTCAGTCTTGGCCTGTGCTGGCATTTCTTCCCAGCAAGGATACAAATGTGTGATACAAATCTGCAAGCCAAGTGTTAAGTTTTTAATAGATGTATTTCTACTCAATGCCAATAAAATGTTTCAAGCACCTGTAATTAAACAGTCTGGAGACAGATCTGCTAGTTAGAACATTCAAAAAAATCTGACAGTCTTTCGAAAAGATGAAAAAAGGGACAATTGTTTGATGTTAAGTCTTTACTGCAAGAAAAATTAAGATTTCTCCTTCTCCAACAGCCACCAGGGAACTGGCAGTGACTGAGGGCTCAGGAAGGACAAAATCTCCTGGTCACATTTGGGTTTGGCTGATTTGAGGGGGTGGATTCGAGGGTTTTCTTTGTTTCTCTACAATACTCCAGCTTTTAAACAAAAGTTTTTGGAACTCCCCATGGGATTCTTTTGCTTTGGTGTTTTGCCTGTGTGTCCGTAGGTGTGATCACACACGAGCCATCTGCCTCATCAGAAATATATAAGCAGCAAATGGCTTTTCAAGCATTTCAAAACTGGAATAGAAGGATGTGGAACAGCAATTATTACAACAAGATGTTAATATGAGAAGCCAATTTATTTTTGTTTAGAATGTAATCCAGGAATTATCTGGAGTCAGTTCAACGGGTGACACTGGAGTGTCACACGCTGACCATGCTGTGGGAGGGAGGGAGCGTGGGAGGGATGGGCAGAGGTTCTGCCTGGTGTCCTCCCAGTATTTCTAAGAAGGATGAGCTCTTTGGGCTGTGGAGGAGAAAGGTAAGCAGCCCTGCCTTCCAGATGGGAGAGCAGGTCCTGTGTGCCCACACCAGGGAGGTGCAGCCCCCTCCTGCAGCACACTTCCCAGGAGATGGTCAGACTCCAGGGCAACGGGCTCCAGCTTCAGCTGGTAAAAGCAAACACCCAAACTGATGGGAATTCTACTCCATATTTCCTTTTTAAAACTCCCAGCCTGACTGCATGTTGGTTAGGAGTCTATAGATGAACTTCATGGAGGCTGTAAAAACTGAGGAAGTCAATGTATAGCTGGTAAAAGGAGCTCAAGTGACAACAGACTGTCACATCAAAAGGCTGGAGAATTCTCCTCCCTTTCAAGAGCTGTGCTGGGGCATTCTCACTGTTGCTTTTAACACCTACAGCTTGCATGATCAGAAACACTCCCATGGTTTAAGCTCTCTTCTCAGGCATCTTTAATGCAAAATGCTGTTACAAAACAGCCTTCGCAGGCTCCAAAGCAAGTACTTTTTGGAAACAGAGCGCAGAAGCCAGAGTTAGAGCGAGGCTCCAGGTTTCTGAGTAGAGATAAACAAAATCTTTCTCTAATTCACCATTGGCAGACTCTGTGTTTAGCAAGGAGGCAAAGAAGACTTCCCCCCGCGCTCTGTCAGGCAAATGCATGCACAGGCAGCTCTTCCAAGCATTTCACAGCAGTAATTTTCCATTTCCATTATGAAAGTCATCTTGGGCTTTTTTTCTTTTCTCTTTTTTTTTTTTTTTAATTTTTAATTTAACTGCAGTGATGAGGACTTTAGTTCCTTCATCTTAACCACCTCCAGACTGGCCTGCTGGTTTCCCCACCACCCAGCAAGGCATGGAGCTACGGACAAAGGTGTTTCCCTTCCATGCACAGACTTTCAGCAAGGCATGTTCTCAAAAGAAAGAATTCAGGCAGGCTTGTAAGTCAGGGCTTCATCAGGAAAACACCAGTGACCCCCCAAAGCTGCCTGATTTCTCCCCTGTAAACCCAGGCTAACACAAATTACCCAGCTGGCTGCTCCAGAGCAGGCACAGCTCTTCCCAACAGCTCCTCCTGCACCGTCAAAAGGGAGCTCTAAATATCCCAGTTAAGTCTTCAACTTCACATTAATTTCTGTGCTAATTGGCTGGGGACCCACAAGCAGGAAGGATGATGTTACTCCTGAGGAAGAGCTGATTTCCAGTAACAAAGCCACGCTAAACAAATTAACTGTTTGCTTCTGTAGAGACTTTTGAATGAAAACATTTTTCAGCATCTTCTTTATCCTCAAAGAACTAGATTTCAAACACGGGAATGTCTGAACCCAAGGGTGACACTGGCAGGGACTCACTGCTTGTCCATACCAACAAAACTTCCAGGTTTTCCCTGGCCAATTTGAAGAGTTGCCTGTTTCTTACTCTTGCTGCCAGATCAATGGCTCCTGATGGCAAGGGAGTGAATAAAGGCTCTATTTGAGATACAGCTTTTATAATTAACTCTACAGATTGATTTCTGCAGAAATCATTCTTTAACCAGGAATTCCCTACTCTCAGAATGGCCTCCACTCAGCTAAACTATTTAAGAGGTTACCTGGGACTCAAGTGCATTAAATTTCAGTTCCATCCTTTCAACCACAGCAATACCTTGAATTACATGTCATACATCATATTTCTGTGTGATACTGATACAGTCTGATACTGACTTGACTCATTCTGAATCCAACATTTTCCCGGAAAAATACCCCCTAAGCCAAAACAAAGAAAAGGAGGGGGGGGCATTTAATGTTGGGTTTAATCCATGTCTTATGCCTAATTCACTCATTTGTTCAACCCAAAAGGAATCAAGAAGCAGCTGCAGATCTCAACAGGAATAAACTGCAAAAAAAAAAAATTAGGTAATTATCTAAAAAAGGAAATAAAATCCCAGTTAGTTTGCTGTTCTTGGTATGTAGAAGCTTTTAGAGATTCTCCAGAACAGCCAAGGCTTGGGGACTGTTGAGTGAGGCAGCTGAGAAGGAGGACGATGAAGTGCTGCATCACTTACACTGGCATAAGACAAACTATTGTTAGGAGAAAACACAGATGCCATTTGTACAACAGCTTAGACAAGTGCCCCTAATTATCTCTCAGGATTCACAACATGTTTAAATACTCTTAGAGCATTAAAGAATCAACCCGAGAGCATGTAATGTAATATAAAAGCACTCTTTCAACTGCTATGAACATCTATAGTGTCATTTACTAATCTCTTGGTGACGACCCTGAAATTAAGGCAAGACTGTGCAGTGGAGCATCTAAACTGTAGGCTTGGAAGTTCAGAGATGTGACCTTTGTGAAGCCAAAATCCATCAGTTAAAGCCCTTGCGCATTTATAGATACTCAGAGCTTCCAATGTGTGTTAAATATATTGTCCATAATCCCTGGAGTCAAAGGTTAACAGCTGCACTTCAGGAGATGTGGCTCCACTGGTGACTAGTGACTACAGTTGGGTCATTATTTCATGCTGACTATCGTGGTGCTTATTTTATACAGGAGTAGAGTTATTTAAATAGGCAGTTGTTGGAAAAGCAAAGATAGAAGAGTCTGAAATACACACCATTTCAGCCATGGGGAGGAGAAAACACCCCCAGACTTGGACATTCACCAGAAACAGTTAGATTCAAAGCAAAACCTGGCTTTGCTCAGATGATTATTTTCAAAAGCACCAGCATTTGTTTGGAACACCGTGCATGAGACACCCGCATCCTTGGAGATAACTGGAGAAAAAATTACAGCAGCCTAGGGTGGCTACTTTGGGAAAGAGCAAGCCCTTATATTACATAAAATGGATTCTCAAAAGCTTTTTCTTCCACATGCTTTGTTCCAGCTGTAAAACTTGACCTTTGGTTTTGAGCAGCCCCAGATGTGGGAGGCAGAGAACGGCACAGCCAGTGCAGCTGATGCAGCAGCCCCAGGGCTGGATGCAGGAGTGGGAACCACAGAAGGCCACCCTGGGATGCCAAAAGGCCTCCTGCATAGTATTTAGTGCTTTGTCTCCACCTCTTTAACAGCACTGTCACTTGGAAGTATTGCAAAGGGTAAGACAGTCCTGTTCTTCACACTACCTTCACCTGTTCCCTCAAAATTCCCCTCCTGCTGAGGTGAGTAGAGGTGAAAATCATTTTCTTCCCTCCAAGTGGTTTTAAAAAAGACCTGTATATATGGGAAAATCATATATATTCCTGTGGGATCCAAGTAATCCTGAGACAATACACCTTATTTTCATAAAATGCCATTTCACCAGTTTTTCTGAGCACATATTTTCCATTAGTTCCTCTTTACCAACAACAGCTTATTTGGATGCTTTAGATCTGAATTTCCTGTTGCTTTAAAAAATGTAAATTACAAGAATCAACAGCTCACTGTAGTCTTCAGGGGTTCATCCAAGTATCTAGTTGTTGACATTTAAAACATCAGGCTGTCAAAAGGGAAGAGGATAGTCTAGTACTTATATAAACTTAATTTCCTTGTTTCCACTAAAAAGTTATTAATTAGAAGACAGTCTCAGCCACGTTCAAACTCTTCACACATATCCAGCTTCCTCTCATCCTACCCATCAAGGAGTTTTTTGGTATGTTTATATTCTACTCAAGCAAAAAAATAATATTCTATAATTCATCTTACAGCAAACACAGGAGCAGTAACACCTTCATGAGGCACCTTTCTGCAATATGAATGTGCACAGCAAACCACTGAAGGTTCCCTGGTTTGCTGTGCTGCAGGTTAGTGGAATCCCCTGGCCAAATGGAATTAGAGCTACGACATAAAAATACCCCATTCACATCACTGATTCCTTAGTCATGGATTTTAAAGTTTCTAAATATCGATGCCTTTACTGCATTTACCTCTCTGTGTATATTAAGGAAAAAGTCCATTTCTGCAGCAAGTCCACAGACAACCACTAAGGGACCAGAGTAAATCCTAAGCAGGACCACGTGCCCAACTTATTCGAGTTTCTCTTCTGTTCTTATGCTGTCCCTTACCTGGGGACACAGGGCCTCCAGCTGGCTGGCTGACATGCGAACCAACTTCACACCTTCTTCGTTGTTCGAGATGGAACAGGCCAAGTTGGCAACCTAGGAAAGAGATGGGAGGAAACAAAACACACCTGTTAGAAATGGACTTTATTTCCTTCTGCAGGAAACCTTTTGCCTCCTCCCAGTAGTGACCAGTAACCCATCAGGAAACATGAAGTGTCCACACTCGTTCAATTTTAACCAATTTTGAAACCATTAATGACATCTGTTCCTTCTCGTGCCTTAAAATCCCAACACATCAAATCACAGCATTGTAGAATCACAGAGTGGTTTGGCTTGGAAGGAGCCCTGAAGATCATCCAGTCCCACCCCCTGCCATGGGCAGGGACACCTTCCACCAGCCCAGGTTGTTCCAAGCCCCGTCCAACCTGGCCTTGGACACTTCCAGGGATCCAGGGGCAGTCGCAGCTTCTCTGGGCAACCTGTGCCAGGGCCTGCCCACCCTCACAGCCAACAATTCCTTCCCAATATCCCATCTAGCCCTGCCCTCTGGCAGTTTGAAGCCATTCCCCCTTGTCCTGTCCCTCCAGACCCTTGTCAATAGTCTCTCTCCATCTTTCCTGTCGGCTCCTTCAGGCACTGGGAGGCCACAAT